TGCAGGCTGATAGAAAAGTTCTGTCTTCTTCAAGCTGACTTCCAGTCCAAAAAGCTCACAGCAGCCTCTGCAAAGTAGGATGTTAAATGCTGTAGAGCTACTTCTGTGTGGGCGATGGGGGCGGCATCATCAGCGTAAAGCAGCTCACGGACAAGATGATTTAAGGTCTTAGTGTGGGCCTTCAGTCGCCTTAGGTTGAATAGGCTTCCATTGGTGCGATATCGAATGTAGATACTCTTCATCAAGGTCTGCCGTGGCCCTTTGGAGCACCATGCTGAAGAAGATTGTGAATAAAGTTGGTGCAAGAATGCAGCCTTGCTTCACACCATTGGCTATTGGAAAGGGCTCAGAAAGTGCATCGCCATATCTGACTTTTCCATGCTGATCTTTGTGAAGCAAGATTATCATTTTAAGGAAGTTGGGGAAGCATACTAAACATTCCAAAATCTGCCACAAACCTTTTCTGCTCACAGTATCGAAAGCTTTGGTGAGATCAGCAAAGGTTGCATAGAGTCCTGTGTTCTGTTCCATACACTTCTCTTGCAGTTGTCTGAGAATAAATACCATGTCTGCGGTGCTCCTATTAGCTTGGAAACCACGTTGGCTTTCAGGTAGAAGTTCTTCTGCTATAGTGGATATTAATCTGCTCAGAAAACCAGAAAAAAAAACAGAAACAGAGGAGATAGATAGAGAAGATAAAGTAAATGTCTCTTGAGTGGCTTCCATAAAGATAATTTTATTTTTTTTCTTTAAGCTGATGTCCTGGTTTTGACCGGGTCATGGTTAATTTTTGCAGTATCCAGGGGGCATGGCTCAGATCTGAAGGGTATCTATACCACCTCACATCACTGCTGGGGGTGGCAGAAAGGGAGTTTCTTCCAAGGAGATTCCAGTCAAATAAGCATGGCACCTCCAAACCAGATGGAGCGTTCAGGTAGTGCTGGTTCTGAGCTGGAGGGAGTGGTGGAGTATTATCTTTTTTCTGGAGTTTTCAAGGTAAGCAATAACCTTAATTTTCTTGTATGCTCTGTCATTAGTATTGTTGCCGTTGCTGTTACTGTTCATTTTCTTATCTTATTGCTATTTCCAGTAAATTGGTCTTATCTCAACCCATGATCTTTACCTTTTGTGCCTCCAATTTCTTCTGCAGCCTGCTGGAGAGGGGACGGGACAAGGGGAACAAGTGAGTGGCATGTGGTCTGAAGGGTCTCAGTGGGAGCACTAAAGTGAAGAATACCATTCCTAAACCATGACTGGGTGCCTTTGATATTAGATCTTCAGATTATATGGAAAGGTTTAGTTGTCTTACAAAAGCAAAGCAGAAACCTGGCAATATACACAAGTTGTTACATTCATATGGTAAGTGCACCATTTGGGAAGTCCAGTGATGTCTTCCTAGAAGCATATCAGTGGAAGGAAATCTGAAGCATGTGTGCTGGCAAAAACAAGCAGTTACGTTACCAGAGGTGTTAGGGATTCCTAGACTTTGTACTCTAAGGTTTATACTGTACATTGCAGTAATAAATTTGGGACTTGTTTCAAACTGTAAGTCATTATTCTTGCTGTTTCTGAGCTGGAGGGAGTGGTGGGTTATTGCTGGAACATGCCCTTCACAAACTACTTTTCAAAGGCAGAACAGTCCACAGTTTATTTTTAGAGATTTTTATGTTTTGTGTTGCCTTTCTTGGCAAAGTAAAGGTATTTTCACACCTGAAGGGCAGATTGCCATCCAGAGGACCCTGGACAAGCTCAAGAAGTGGGCCTACAGAAGTCTTGTAAGATTTAATAAGACCAAGTGCAATGTGCTGCACCTGGGTCAGGGCAACCCCTGGTATCACTTCAGGCAGGGAGATGAACAGATTGAGAACAGCCTTGCTGAGAACTTGAGGGTGCTGGTTGATGAGAGGCTGGACATGACACAGCAATGTGAACTTGCAGTACAGAAAACCAATTGTATCCTGGGCTGCATCAAAAGGAGAGTGGCTGGCAGGGTGAGGGAGGGGATTCTGCCCCTCTACTCTGTGAGACCCCACCTGCAGTGCTGCATCCAGCTCTGGGGTCCTCAACATAGACAACATCGGCCTGTTGGAGCAAGTCTAGAGGAGGGCCAGAAAAATAATTAGAGGCATGGACCACCTTTCCTACAAGGAAAGGATGAGATAACTGTTTTGTTGGACTGGAAAAGAGAAGGCTTCAGGCTGACCTAATCACGTCCTTCTAGTATCTGAAGGGGGCCTACAAGAAAGATGGAAAGGAACTTTATACAAGAATATGTAGTGAAAGGACAAGGAAGAATGGCTTCAAGCTGAAAGAGGACAGGTTTGGATTAGATACTCGGAGAAAATTCTTTACTGTGATGTGGGGACGGAGGAACACACAACGACCTCGCAATCAATAAGCGCGTTCGATTCATTATCTATAAGGCAGTCATTTTATAACATGTGTAATAAGCTCATACATATTGCAAAAGCTAAGCTCAGGATTGGTTGGCCTTTAATATTGCTTACATGCTGCTGAAGTTATGTCTGGAGTTTTAGTCCCTTTTTCTTTATCTTAGTACCAAATTCCCTTTTTAGACTCTCGGTTTCCCTCCCTGCTACATTCTCTCTGCCACATTCCCGTATTTG